TACAGCTCAAATGCATTGCAATGACTTCCATGTTAAAAAAAAGACTTTAAAAAGCTGAATATTTTAAAAGTATAACATATTTTGAAAAAGTTGAAAGTTTCCCATCATGTGCTGAAAAGTTTGATATTTGAATGGTTCCTGCAGCTGGAATTAGGCTGAAGGAGTTAAATAAAGATATTACATGTAAGTAGTAGTGAAGGAATGTTTACAAACACCTGTGTGTGTAAGCCCAGAGATCAAAGGTTACCATGGTGACGACATTATCAAAATACCTGTTTACGTCCGTCTGTCTGTCTGTCTGTGGCCCCGGCCCCACGGGAACGCATACGGCAAAACGCATAGGATTAACGCAAACGCAATCGCCAAAAAGCTTCCGTCCACACGCAATATACACCGGATAGTGTCTGCCCACACGAGACAGCTCCATTTAGGTCCAACCGCTGGAAAAGCTGCAGTACATATGCCGAGCCTGTACGTGGCGCTGTAACTTCCTCCACAAAAGCAGCAACTTCCTCCACAAAAGCAGCGAAGAAGAATGGTTGTCATGGCTGCACTTCTGTTTATTCTCCGCGGTGGGGGCCGAGGGAACCGGGCAGAGTTTTTCGCCGGTCAACGTGTGTTAAAGTTTAAATCTTCCGGACAAAATTATAAAAGTGCCGGTCAAAGGTCTTCTTTGTTATTTATTGAGCTTTAAAACAAATGAATAACGACTCTATATAATGATATATAATAATAAAATATACGGAGCCTCTCTTTTTCCTCCCTCTCTTCTGACAGCGTCAGTGTCTGTCTCATGCAGCAGCTGATCCAGTAATGATGACTCGACAGTAAAAATAAACATATTTATAACTAGTTTAGTTTGAGAGGTCATTAAAATAGCTAAGGGTGATGATCTGACTTGAAGTGTGTGACTCTCGCTGCATCACAGCGGGAGGAGCTGCGTGTCTCCGTCCTGTCAGATTAGACTTCACTCGCGTTTATGTCCATATCGAGATAAAGATAAATAATCTGAATTCAGTGTGCAGTGTACTTTTGCGGGGGTGAGCAGCAGAGGTGGGGGGAGGCAGGGCTATTGCGTCATCATTATCACAAAATGATCGTATAGAGGCGATCACACGGAGCCGTTGGACCCCCCCAGAGCGCTCCGTTCCCAGATCTATCCACCTTTGGACCCGTTGTCGTTTGCGGGGTCCGTTTCTATCGTTTCGTTACGGCCTCGTGTGGCAAAAAGGGCTATACGCAAGAGAAATATGCGGATACAACCCGTTTTCGTTCCCGTGGGGCCGGGGCCTGTGTCTCTGTCTGTCTGTGGGCATGTCTGCTCTGATTAGATGCTGCTTGTAGCTACAAAAACCAAGTATGTGTGTTGCTGAACTTAGCGGAGAAATGCTGAAAAGTGAAATGATTTGAATCAAAATTGTTACAGCTCAAATGCATTGCAGAGTAGGAAAAATAGTGAAGAAGCTTAATATTTAAAAGAAAAGGTTTAAAAAAGGTATAAACAACAACATTGTCCTGAAATAGCTGAATAAGTTAATAGTTGAATGGTTTCTGCAGCTGAAATTAGGCTGAAGGAGTTAAATATCAGATGTAAGTAGTATGAAGTCTCCATCAGACAGAAAATAATAGGCTGAGACAGTCTGTTAAAGTCCAGTCTGTCAGTGTTGTTTCTGTTCCTGAGCACATACTCATAACACCCAATCATAACACCTGTGTGTGTGTCCAGAGATCAAAGACAGCCAACTGCAGCACTGAGTCCCATAATAATGCATTGAGGAGTATATCTGACAATGTTGTCACCTGTTCAAAAACGAGAGAGAGATTGTGTGTGAGAGAGAGAGAGGGATTGTGTGTGAGAGAGAGAGAGAGAGATTGTGTGTGAGAGAGAGAGAGAGAGAGAGAGAGAGAGAGAGAGAGAGAGAGAGAGAGCTCTCTCTCTCTCTCTCTCTCTCTCTCTCTCTCTCTCTCTCTCTCTCTCTCTCTCTAGAGAGAGAGAGAGAGGTGAATGTTTACAAACACCTGTGTGTGTAAACCCAGAGATGTAAGGTTACCATGGTGACGACTGCAGCACTGAGTCCCATTAAGAATGCATTGAGGATTATATCTGACAATTTTGCCATCTGTTAAAAAACTATGGCTCCTATCAAAAAATTACCAGACCGTGAGCATCAGGGAACCCCAATGAACTGATATATGTTGTTTTTTTTGGTTTTGTGTGTAAAATGTGGAGATGGGAGCAGTTTGTCTAAAGTGTACTTCTCTCTGTTCTGAAGAAAGTTCCGGAAAGATTTAACATGGGAATCAATTGGGAGTTAGCTGGACTTTTTGTCTCTTCATGCCCGCAAGAGGCATTTTGTTTAATATTTCTTCTTAATTTTTTTTAATTTTCCAACCTAGGAGAGGTTTTCCTACATTTTTCATGAAAAAATATGTCTGAGGAGTGTAGGGTTTGGGAATTATGGCAAGTTTAAAACATTTTTGGGGGAGAATTTGAAGAACTGCTGCACTCTGTTTTGAGATCAAAGCACTCTAGACTTAACGAGCTGCTCCATCCACACTAATGTTAAAATCTGAAAAAGGCCTCTCTACCAAGCTCCAAACAAAGTTAAATCTCTCAAGAAGTCTAAAAGATATGAAGAATCTGAATAACAAGTTTTATTGCTGAAGGTGTTGTGATCATTTGAAAGTTGGAATGAAGTGTCTAGTTGAAATTATGTGGAAGGAGAAGCATTTGGCGCAAAGTGTAGGAAAAGAGGATTTGAAGGCATCTCCCATTGACTTCAATGTTTAAAAAAAGAGTTTAACCTGTTTCACGCCTTCCCCCCGGTACCGGGCGGATAAACGCGTCATTTGCAGGAAACAACGTCTAAGGAATCTTAATATTGAATAAAACTATGAATGTGTTATATCCATGTAACGGGAAGAAACTCAGCTAACTGATCTTTTTAATTTTTTTTTTCAAAAAAAACCCACAATGCTAGCACTCAGCCTCTGAATTAGCCTCGATCGAAAAAACGGGACCGACTAAGGCACATAAACTCACTCAGAACTCCCTTATTACTTATCCTAGATGCACAACCAAACACTATTTTTTGGTGTCCTGGAGACACTGAATCTAACGGTGCCCACCTCAACACTCAGTGATAAACATTCGCGACGCTATCAACGAAAGCGTACATCATCACATGTGGAGCCAAGAAGCTAAACATATAAATATGGCTTACCTTGGTCAAAAGTGGTCTTCAATGGCATTAAAACGATAAAAAAAACGATGCTGCAGTTAATCCATAGGTTCATCCTATGTGTCTGTGCCTTCTTTGAAATTATTTCTGATAATCCATAAGCAATACAACTGCGTTTTAGTTTCCAAACTCCAGAAGGAGACATTCCTCCAGTTTAGTTTCGCTTTCCACACGCGAAGCGGCAACATTTTTTCTTTACAATGTGTGTCTATGTAGGTATCCTCCTTCGATTCTATTGGCTCTAACGGTCACAAGGGTATGTCAACCAACCAGATCGAGCAAGGGGGGCCAGAGATAGGTCAAATCCACCCAAATGACCCCAGATGGCCCAGTTTTTGGCTAAATCTCTCTAAAAAGGTCAAATTTCACTTGTTTTGCATCAATCTTGATACAGGGTACTTATTATATGTTGTACTTTGGATTCCTAAAGCTTTTAGTCTACTAACCCATCATCCAAGGGTAGTTTTCACTATCTGTAAAAAATAATTTTTGGACGGACACTATAATTTACAGTTTTTTACTATGTAAAATCTGAATTTTCTTTAAAATAAAAAACATTTATATTGATTCTGACACTTCTACATCCAACTCACAGGTTTATCATTACTTTGAGAAAATATTATTAATTTAACCCTTTTAGAAGGGAAGATATGGTCATTTGTTCTGGGAATGTCATTTTCGAGCCTGAGACCTGAAAAACAGGCTCAGAGTGGAACAGGTTAAAAAGCTGAATATTTCAAAAAGTATAAAATATTTTTAAAAAGTTGAACGTTTCCCATCGATTCCTGAACAGGCTGAATAGTTTGATATTTGAATGGTTTCTGTAGCTGAAAGTAAGCTGAAGTTATGGAGAGCCAAAATATTGGTGAAATAATAATAATATTAAGGGGAAGAATAAAGAATTGAAGTACTATAGTGGAATGCTGTGGCACAGCATTCGCACTAATAAGGAGGCAAAGTTGACGTTCAGTGTGTTGCCGGGAGCATATAAGGATTTATCCACGATGTTGAAAATGTTAAAAATGTTTAAAAAATGTTTAAAACATAAAGATAAAAAGGTTTAAAAAAGTTATTGTTTCATGTTTTAAGGAGGTGATGCTACTCAGCCAATCAAATCGGTGCAGTCAGTGAGTCAGCACGATAGATTCAAACACACACACAGAGACGAGACAAGAAGAGAGAAACAACAGTGAGTAATTTCAAATGGCGTGCTCAAAAAAGAGAAAGGTAGACAGTGAAAACAGAGCATTTAATTACATTTTCTCTCACTGGACCTCTTTGAAATGCAATTGAATACCCCTGTATTATAGCAACAACAACAATTACACTTTACAAGGCTCCCTTTTGGCAGTTATAAATGTTAGTAACTCATAAATAAATGGTCATAAAGAGATGCCAAGAAACATCAAGATGGAAGGGGGGGGAATCAACTCAGTGAACAACAGATACCAAGGATGCTGGCTGATGAAGAAGACGAAGTAAGCTAGGTAGCCAATATAAGGCTTAGTCATCTTGCCAAATAGTGAGCCTGGGTTGATGTATGAAAACTATGTTATAACTGGTTTATAAATGGTTCTTAATGATTAATAAAGTGTTTACAACCTAATTAATAAACTAATTATAAACCCTTTATGAATCCTTTATAAGGGTAGTCTTATTGTAAAGTGGTACCGAAAAGTGTATATATACACTAGAATTGTTCTTTAACTACAACAGCACAACAATATTACTCTCCATTCGTCTTCTCTGTTTGTTTAGGCCAACGATGCCTCGGGGAACACGTGGAACTGGCTGTACTTCATCCCCCTCATCATCATCGGATCCTTCTTCATGCTCAACCTGGTATTAGGTGTGCTTTCAGGGTGAGTACAAACTGTGAGGATCTGAGGGAAGTATTTCAAGAGATGCATTTTTACTTTACCCCCAGACCTCTTTGGTTATGGCTGCATTTGCGTGACATAAGATAAAGTGGGGAACTTTTGCATACAAGTACCAAACCATATGCCAGAACAGCTGTGATAAACTCAGCCAACCCTACGAAGATTGTCATATACTCCTATCACTGCAGCATATTAAAACTAATAAGACCATATGCTTAAAAACAAGTCATTTCTGTTTTATTTGAAGAAAAAAAATACAGAAAGTAATACTTTCAATATGCCGTTTGTACATTACTTAAAAAATATCTAATTTCTGATATGAGGCCAACCACCAACATTGCCCTCATGGTTTCAGAAATATGTTATGTTCTATTGAAATATTCCAGTAGTCAGATGCTGTTTTTGGTGGGAAGAGACGGTCTACTCTTGAAATACCTCTGAATTCAAACTAATTGAAAGATTGAACTATATCTTTATAAAGATAATTATTTGATGTAATATTTAAACAAATAAACACTGTGTTTAACTTGGTATATGTGGCGTTTGGATACTACTTGCAGTGTTTCCCCTAGGTTTACTGCCTTGGCGGGGGGGTGCCCGGAAAAAAATATTTGAATTTTTTTTTTTTTTTATCCTCTGGAGCACAGAGGAGCTGTGGATTATTAGGGTCTGAGACCTAGGTCGGCGAAGACCCTATTGAAATCGGTCGCGCAGCGACCGATAAACCTTTGACCCCCGCAACATATGTGAAACTCACCAAATTTTGCACGCGCGTCAGAAGTGGTGCAACTTCAGATGTGTAATTGGTTCCGGAACTTTGCGTCAAAAATTGCGTAGGCCACGCCCACTTCCGTTTTTAACCTAAACTCCCCCCACTTTAACTTTCACGTAAACGAACGAAACTCGCTACGCATATCTAGGGTGCGGAGACAAACCAAAAAGCCTCTTGGAGGGGTGTAAAATAACGTACAGGAAGCCGGCCATTTTGAATTTGGAGTCGGAAAAAACGCGATAAATCGCGTTTTTTCGTCCTCCGCACGAAATCTATCTTCTCCCAGGGACTTTATCCGTACGACTCGAAATTCGTCGGGTAGCATCTCGAGACATGGGCAATTAAAAGTTATCACGGAAGTTTTTTTCTTTCGCACGGCACAGCCGTTATTTGGCGCCAAAGTTCGCGTTCGCTCGATGCTAGGCCCATCAAACGCCATGGAATACGATGATGTCATAACTGAAACTGACATGCTCACAACGCCACCAAACTTCACATGATGGTTAACACTGCGGCCCTGAACAGCTCTACGTCAAAGTTTATGTTACTTAATATGGCGTTACCATGGCAACGCATCCCTCGCCGTAAAACACAATGTTGTCTTAATTCAATGGAAAAGGTTCAAAACGGCACCAGACTTCAGATGACAGTTAATGGTCCGGCCCTCAACAGCTCTAAGTGAAATCTGAGATCTCATCATATGCCGTTGCCATGGCAACGCATTCCTCGCCATAAAACACAATGTTGTCTTAAGTCAATGGGAAATGGTCCACACTGCACCAGACATCAGATGACAGTTAATGGTCCAGCACTCAACAGCTCTACGCCAATTCTGGGATGTCATCATATGCCGTTTCCATGGCAACGAATCACTCGCCGTTAAACACGAAGTTCTCTTAAGTCAATGGAAAAGCTTCCAAACTGCACCAGACTTCAGATGACAGTTAATGGTCCGGCCCTCAACAGCTCTACGTGAAATCTGAGATCTCACCGTATGCCATTTCCATGGCAACGGATCCCTCGCCGTAAAACACGATGTTGTCTTAAGTCAATGGAAAATGTTCCAAACTGCACCACACTTCAGATGATGGCTAGTAGTCCGGCCCTCAACAGCTCTAGGTGAAATCTGAGATCTCACCGTATGCCGTTTCCATGGCAATGCATCCCTAGCCGTAAAACACAATGTTGTCTTAAGTCAATTGAAAATGGTCCAAACTGCACCAGACTTCAGATGACGGCTACTAGTCCGCCCCTCAACAGCACTATGCCAATTATGGGATGTCATCATATGCCGTTTCCATGGCAACGCATCCTTCGCCATAAAACACAATGTTGTCTTAAGTCATTGGAAAATGGTCCAAACTGCACCAGACTTCAGATGACGACTACTAGTCCGCCCCTCAACAGCTCTACGCCAATTCTGGGATGTCATCATATGCCGTTGCCATGGCGATAGATCACTCGCCATCAAACACAATGTTTACTGTATGATACTGCTGTAACTCCCATTTACGTTGTCCGATCGGCCTGAAACTTCCCACGTTTGCCAACGGCCGAGTCCGGAAAACTCCTGCATGATACCTCGACGTGCGGACAACAGCCTGCGGAGCGTCGAAGACCCGCTCAACGCTGCTTGCAGCTTTAATTGTTATTGTTATCGTACAGTAACAAAGTATTTGTACATTAAAAAGTAATAAAGTACTATAGTAGTAGTAGTATTACTTTTATTCAAACTGTATTCCCTTCTTATCATGTAGCCTACACTTCTTCCTTTCATTGATACATTTAAATCACCTGACTACAGGATATAACATACCTGCTGCAACCCTGTGCTGCTGCTGCTTCTCTACCTCATCCTCTATTGCTGGAGGCAGCTCCACCTCATCTGATCTCTGATATGAAAGCAATCGTGTTATGATCATATTGAGCTATTGGTGTGAGTCTAACATTAAACAAGCAGTCTGCTTGTCATACATTGCTGACGATACATTTTAAGAGGCAATTTGTTGAGTCACTGCCGCTAACATCAAGCTAGCAAATCCTGCATTAGCCTCACATCAACAGGTGTAGACAGAACATCCAATTATCCTGAGCTAATTTACTGAATAAACTAACTCACATCTCCTGTCTTTTTTTTCACCCAACTCATTAGACTATTCTTCTGCTGGCGTTTCATTGTTGTTTTCTGTCAAATTCAATACTGTAGTTCAAAACCGCGGTACCTGCTCACCATCTGTGAGCTATTTTTAGAATGCGCACGCTACGTTCGTTGTCGCGTTCGCGCGCGTCCACCTGGGCAGGCTGTGTGTGTCCTTCTCCTCCGTGACGATAACGGCTTGAGGTTAAAAAATAATAATAAACACATTTGAAACTGGGGGGACACACAAACGGGCAGACAGCAGAGCTCGGGCCAATAATGCAGATTTGTTTGACTTTTTTACACTTTGTTGTTCTCCTCCTTTCCTCTTGTCTCTGATTGTGAGTGTGTGCATTCGTGTGTGTGTGCATGTGTGTGTGTGTGGGGGGGGAGCGGAGCAGAGCCCCGCCCTTCAGAAACAGAGCGGAGTCTCCCTCCGCTCTGTTTCTGAAGGGCGGGGCTCTGCTCTATGTGAATACGCAAAGCAGTGGACACTGAAACATGCACATACATTGGATAAATAACATAGGCGTTTAGTTTATTTAATAAAAGAGCACATGTTCAATGTGAAAAGTGACCGTAAATAGATTACTTACTTGCAATTTGGTGCTATATATATATTTTTTTTTAATTAAAAAAAATTAAAAAAACAAAAAAAACACCTTGAATATCAGGCGGGGCGCGGGGCTCCGTTGGCAGGGCGCAGCGCCCCGCCAAGACAATGGTAGAGCTGCGGGCAATTCCAGCACATAAACGTGCTGGAATTGCTCTCCGTACGGAGAGTAATCCAGTATTTTGCCCCGTTGCTGCGGAATCAGCATGTGTTGATTCGCACAGACAACAAAGCCGCGGCAGCCTACATCAATCGCCAGGGCGGAGTACGCTCAGCGCAGCTTCTGAACACAGCCAGGCCGCTGTTGATCTGGGCGCGCGCACACTTGCTCTCCATCAGAGCAATGTATGTTCCCGGCGAACTGAACAAAGGGGCAGACCTCATGTCCAGAGGAGGTCCTCGCCAGGGGGACTGGAGCCTCCATCCCGAGCTGGTCTCCCAGGTATGGAGCCGGTTCGGGAGAGCAGAGGTGGATCTGTTCGCCGCACGCGGGAACGTGCAATGCGCCCTCTGGTTCTCCCTGAAAGCGCAGGACCACCCGCCCCTGGGGGTGGACGCGTTCGCACATCGACCATGGCCCAGGGGCCTGTTGTACGCTTTCCCACCAGTCCCGCTGATCCCTCGGTTCCTGGACCGAGTGCAGGAGGAGCGACTGTCAGTGATCCTAATTACCCCGGAGCGCAGGGGCGCTTCCTGGTTTCCATGCCTACAGCGTACGCTGTCAGGCAGACCGTGGGAAATTCCGTGGCGCGGGGACGCTCTCTCGCAGGTGGAGGGAGCGATCAACAGTCACCCTGTGATAGGCCAGCACTTATGGGCATGGCCCCTGAACGGGAACACTTAGAGGGGCTGGGCCTCTCTCAAGATGTTGTACGGACCATTCAGGGAGCCAGGGCCGCGTCTACCAGAGCGTCCTACACAGCCAAGTGGACAGCTTTCCAGCATTGGTGTGTAGAAAAAAGCCTGGACCCCATTACGTGCCCCCTGCCTCACGTGCTGTCATTCCTCCTGCACTCGGTCCAGGAACCGAGGGGCGGAGCCCCTGCCGCCGCCGACGGGCGCTGACGGTTGCTGTGAATGTCTCTCCGCCTGCCGCTGTGGCCGGGTTGGACGCTGCGGCTGCTGCGGCTGCTGCGGCTGCTGCGGGCGTTGGTGCCGCTGTGCAGCTGACGTGCTGGCGGATGTCGTCTGCCTGTTCTGCAGCCGCCTTCATGGACTCCACCATGGCGTGGAACTGGGGTCCGAACAGCCCGTCTGGGCTGATTGGAGCGTCCAGTAGCACCTTCCTGGCCGTCTCTGTAACAGACGCCTACTGCAGCCAGAGGTGGCGCTGGATCTGCGTCACCCACGTGGCGATCCTTGCCTGGGAGACAGCGACGGACGCGCACAGTGTGACCTCTGCAGGCGGCCGCCTTGCATATGATCCCCAGCAGTTCCCCCAAGATGCCACCTATCGCCGG